AAGACCAGACCATCATGGTCCTGTGATTCCTGGCACTGTTCTTGGCTCTGCCCATCAACCCAGTTCTGCCCACAAAACAGGCTCCGCCCACCCTCCCAGCTCCGCCCACTCACTACAGATGGTGCCGATGCCGTGGGGCTCGATGTGCTGCTCTGTCCCCCCGACTCCCCCCACATGAGCTGGGCCACATGAGCCTGCTACAGCCTGGGCCAACAGATCTGCGTCTGCTGGCTCATGCGCTTAGATCCAGTGGTCCTGGGTTCGATCCCCATGACCCAGCCAGTCGGCTCTTGGTCCGTTTCAAGGCCAGCGGGGACCCTCACGAGCCACGTGCCGACCCTCTGTCTAACCCAGGCCGGTGAACGTCGTCCAGGGGTTCAGGTGGGCCCCCCTTTGCACGTGGCTGAGCTGCCTGCCTGCCCGGCTCAGTCACGCAGGCCATTTGGGGCAGGATTCTGTCTCTTCCTGTGGTCCAGATCAGCTGTGTCCCCCATGAAACCCGCCCCCAGGAGGCAGTTATAGGAGCTCCGACCGCCCATGGGGCAGGTTTCTTTCCAAGCACGGTGGGCTGAATTCACGTAGTCCCGGTCTCCAGCAGGGCCAAGCCGCTGTCTCGCCATCAGGGCCTTACCTGGGCTGCGCTGAGCAGGGCTTTGAATAAGTCGCTAGGCCAGTTTTAACGCCACCAACACGCGTCTCGTGACGCTTCAAGGCCCTGTCTGCTGATGAGCTTCTAACCACCCGTGATGCCCGGCAGCAACCTGGTTCCAACATAACTGACCCCTTGATAGCCAGACCCTTAAAAGGCCGTAGGAGCCATTAGCGTGAGTAATGGTGCCTCTTAGTCACCGGCTCGCTAGGGTAAAAGTTTTCTGCCATGCTGGGCTCTCTCCAGACCGGGCTGCGAGCGTATTAAACATAAGAGCGGCCACACTGGGTCAGATCAATGGCTCATCTAGCCCAGTGTCCTGTCTTCCGCCCGTGGCCAAGGCCAGGTGCCCCAGAGGGAATGAACAGAGCAGGGACTCATCACGTGATCCATCCCCAGGCACCAGACTCTGTGCTGGGCTTCCAAGTGACATGGGTGTGTGGGGGGTTCACCTGTAAAGACCCCCCCTCTTTTCCCCATGTGCCGCACAGCCGGCCTCTCCCCGCACGGTGCCGCAATCCTGGGGCTGACGGCTGCGCATCGGGGCACGAAGGTGGTGGTGGTGGGGGGGTGGAACTGTGAATGGCAGCGGCTTGGGGCAGGGTGGCGTCAATTGCTGCCCTCGGGGTATAGCTGTGTTGGGTCCAAGGCAGCTCAGGCTGGGGTGGGCTGCAGGCCCCTGAGCTCGGCTGGCTCTCGTCCCCACAGGGTGCCCAGAGCTGCTCGGATTTATCCATCTCCTTCCACTACGTCAGCCCGGAGGAGATGTACATGTTGGAATACTTGAGCCAACACCTGCGTCCGTACGGATACCGGCCCCGCTACCAGCCGGCGCCGAGGACCTGGAACCGCACAGAGCCCAGGGAGGGGTGACTGTCGGGGGCTCCGCGGCGGGACGTGAAATCCCAAGGGCCGGGGTTACCCCAATGGGGCTTCAGAACCAGTGTGAGGCGTGAGGCTGGACCCACGGTGCCGGGGGCTGTATAAAAGCGACCGAGGGGAAGGAGGGGGCATTTGACGCTGGAGGGCTGCGTGTAGGACGGGGGCGTGGTCACAGTGGGACGGAGCAGAGCCTGATTAGCCCCTTGTCTGGAAGATGCCAGGACCGGACATCACGTGCCGGGTTAGCCTCTATGGGTGCGGAGCGCGAGCTCAGAGCAGAGATGTGGTTCGGGGAGGGGGCTCTCAGGCAGGGCACCCCAGTGGGTTTGGGGGGTATTCTTGGGCACAACCCCTGAGGGAGTTTGGGGGGCCCCCAGCTAAGGGGGGGCAGATCTTGTCTACGTATAAGGTGTCCTATCGTCATTGCAAACCTCCTTTCTCTTCAGCTACCTCCGGGTGAAAGGAGGGTTTGTCCGTGGGGGAGCCCACTGCACTAATCACTGGAGGCGGGTGTGGGCACTGGGCACCCGTGGCCTCTCGGCGTTGGGGGAGCAGGCCAGCTGGCGGACAAATCCCGTGTATCCCCAGGCCTCCCTAGGGGGTGCCAGGCTGTGGGGCCCGTTCAGGCCATGGGGTCTCTGCTGACCCAGTCCCCAAGGGAGCAGGTGCTGGTAATGGGAAGGCTCCATTTCCCGTCAGCCCCCATCCTGTTCCTGCCAGTCTGGCCTTCGCTGCCTGACGCCCCCCTCCCCTCCCTCATCCCCCACCCCGGCTTCGCTGGGCCACTTTCCTGTGGGCACCAAAACTGCTGAAGCAGAGTGAGCTACAGGCGTCCTGTTCCCCCCCATCTCCCCTGTCTGATCCCCCCCCCAGCCCCAGCCCCAGCTTGCTCTGCAGGACGGGTCGCTCCCAGCAGAAGGAACCAGGTACATGCTACAGCTCTGAATCTGACATTGTTACGTACTTACAGTTACAATCCAAGAGATTAAACCACTGTACACAGCCACGGGTCTCAGTGCTGGCTGGCCATGCCCGCACCCCCCCCCACATACACACGCCCCCCCCCCCCCGCTACGCTCCAGCCACGCCTGGGGCCGGCGTGGCCCCTGCAGAAGGCTGCTTCCTCCCCCAGCCTCCCAGAGCCCCCTTCGCTGCCGACACCCGCTGCCGGTCAGTTACGTGCCCCCCCCCGGTTCAGACCGGTGGCCCCGTCCTCTGGAGCCCACGGCAGCACTGGCGGTTGGAGGGACGGGGCAGCGTCCCTGCCCCCTAGGCCTGGCTCTGGCCTGCTTCTGGCGTCCTGGGGCCGCCACAGAGAGGGAGGGCAAGGCTTTCTTTGTGCAACACGGTAGCCGATACATTCATGAACTGAGCCACCCAGCTGGTTTGGAAGAACGGGGCCAGGGCTCGGGGGGGAGCTCTGGGACTGGCTGTGGGCCCCACAGAGAGCCATGGAGCTCTCGGGCCACTAAGCTCAAGGTCGGGCCCAGCCACTCGGCCTGGACCCCCGGATCAACCCCTTCCCCAGGCCTGGACTTAAAGCAAGGACCGGCGGGAGTGGCTTTCAACTCAGCATTGGGGGGGGTAACGTGCCAGCCAGCGCCGCAGGCAGCTGCAGGGATGGGCGATTGGTGTGCGGGGTGGGTCGGTATTACCCTGATCGCGTATCGAGCTAAAGCCTGAAACCACGTCACTCACAACAGCCACGTTCGGAGGCCTCGGCCAGGGGCCACAAAACACCGAAGGGTCACACGTGCCCTGTAAACATTGTGCCGGGGGGAGCTGCCAACCCAGCCTCTGGGAAGAGACAGCGGGAGGGCGATTTCTGGCACGAGCCTCAATGCTCGGCGAAGCAAATAAATTAAAACAGGGTCCCGAGAGGAGGCTGGAAAGGCCAGTCAGTGGGGAAAGGGACGGGGCGGGGGCTTTGCACAACAGGAACGGGTTGAAAGCTGGATCTGGCTCTAAGGAGGCACTGTGCCAGCTTCTGCAGGTGTGAGCCAAGGGGGTGTCAATGCCCACAATGCCCCGTGCCAGGCGGCCCCCTCGCCCAGGCCTGGGAAGGGGGTGCTGCTTTTCAGAGAGGTGCTGACTGGGAGGGGTGGCCGAGGGGCAGCCCAGCGCCTCTGGCTGGGTTGGGAGCCTGGCTCAGTGGGCGTAGGCTGGCAAGGGGGGGGGGTTGGCACCTCTGCCTCGGGTGGGGAGGGGGAGGTGACCCTGCTGGTAAGCAGCGAGGAGATACCTGCTCCCCCCCTCCCCGCCTCTCTGCCTGAGCCATCCAGGGAACCACCTTTTCTACAGCAGCGAGAACCCAGGCATCCTGACTACCAGCCCCCGCCTGGCTCTATCCCACCAGACCCCACGCCTGATAGAACCCAGGAGTCCTGGCTCCCAGCCCTCTCCCCACACCCCACCCCCACTCTACTCATTGGACCTCACTCCCCTCCCAGAGCCATGATACAACCCAGGGGTCCTGACTCCCAGCCCCCCCCCCAACTTTAACCCATAAGCCCCCACTCTCCTCCCAGAAACCCCAGTGGAACCCAGGAGTCCGGGGCTAAGGGGCTGGCTGAGACATCGACTGCCGCTCGACTCACAAATAGTAGCAAGGAGACTGTCACCCTCTGGTGTCTGCGCAGGTCCAGTGCACCCAGTTGGGAGCCCCCAGCCGCATGGGGTGGGGGCACAGCTGTTCCCTCCCCCCCCCCCCCCGACCGCCAATGGTTTCCATGGTGGAGACGGAGAGCAGGGGAACAGGGCAAGCTGCTTTCCTTCCCCCGCCTTCATGGAATGGGAGGGGCACTAATGGGGGGGCGCAGGGATTGGAGGTTCAGGGCTATGGCAGCTGGATCAGATGGATGGGGGGGGGTTCACCAGCTCAGAGGCAGCTGCAGGCCCCACTTGGCCCATCACCCCCACCCCTGGTAAGTCAGCCCTCTCCCCGTGCTGCGGGTCCCTGTCTGTCCCTGGGGGGTGAGTGGGGGGCGCAGAGGCTGCAGGCCGGGAACCCAAACACCTTGGAACGACACTGAACATGTTTCACCGTCAAAGCTCATTACGGACAGGAACGAACGACCCCCCTCCCCACCCCGGCCGTGTCCTTAAACCCCAGGGAAGGACGTGAGGGTGCGGCCGGCGGGGATCACAGGGCAAGTCAGTGCCAGAGCTGAGAACAGAACCCAGGAGTCCTGGCTCTCGGCCCTGTGCTCTGACCACTAGACCCCCACTCTCTTTCCAGAGCTAGGAACAGTACCCAGGAGTCCTGGCTCTCGACCCTGTGCTCTGACCGCTAGACCCCTACTCCCCTCCCAAAGCCAGGAACAGGACCCTGGAGTCCTGTCTCTCACCCCTGTGCTCTGACCACTCGACCCCCATTTCCCTCCCAGAGCCAGGAACAGGACCCAAGAGTCCTGGCTCCCGGCCCTGTGCTCTGACAAAACTGTCTCTCTTTGTCCTGCATGTTCCCATCGGGGGAGACAGGGACATAACGAGCCGCACCAGCAGGGGCTGAGTAATAAATAGAGCATCAAAAATACAAATTGTCCGACACTGACCATCCTGGAGGATGGGGACGCCCAGCGTCCTGCCCAGCCAGCACCCAGGGGCGGCCTCACCTGGGCACCCGCCTCGCCAGCCGTGCCTGGAAAAGCTGGGTCCGTTGGGCCGAACGTCCCTTCGGCGTCCGGCAGGCGCGGCCCGCATGGGATGAAGTTGTCCCCTGACCACCCCCCGCGTCCTTCCCCTCCAGCCCTGCGTCGGGCTCAGGCTCCGTCGCACCCGGTCCAGGTGGCCGGAGGCAGGCCCGGAGCCTGCTGGGGAGGGCTCTGCAGGGGGCCCAGGCATTGACAGTCTCCCCCCGGCTCTGGGCTGAGCCCCGAGGCCCTGCACGGGGCAGTCCGGCGGGGCTGGGCTGGCTATACCAGGGCGGTCCGAGTGTCACACCGTCCCATGCTGGCGGTGCTGCTTTTCCGGCGCAGGCTGGGCGTGGCGATGGTGCAGTGGCCCTCGCCGGGGCAGCCGTGCTGCAGGAGGATCTCGGCGCACTCCTGGCTCCCGGCTCGCCTGGCGTAGAAAAGGGCCGTGTGGCCCAGCGCGTCGCGGGCCTTCACTTCGATGCCGTACTGCGGACAGAGAGGCATGAGGGGATGAGGGGGTGCGGCTCCGGACCAGAGCGAGCCTGCCCCCGAACTGGGCACCAACCCGCCCCGGGGGGTCCCGGAGCCAGGAGGATCGCCCCTCCGGCAGGTGAAACAAGCAGCCAGGGGCACCAGGGTGTGCCACTGGTTCGGGGGATCCCCAGGCTGGGCGATCTGGGCTCGTCACCCCCAGTGCGGGGTAAGGAGGATCCCACCTGTCCAGCTCCGGGGGGTGCACTGGGCTCTACCTGGCAGGGCAGGAGCCCTCGCTGGCTCTGATTGGCCGCTGCGTATAGGTCTCCAGGTACCCGTACAACTGGTGATGTCACAGACATTTCCGGAGCAACAGGCAGTGATGTCACAATGCCCAGGTTTATGACATTCACCGCAGGCCTGGGCGGAGCTCTGCCATAAACTCGCTGCCGGAACGCCCTCCTTCGCCCTGCAGGTGGCACCCCATGGGCCCTGCCAAGCTCAGGGGGAGCCCCAGGCAAAGGCTCTGTGGCTCCCCCTTCCCCATCTGTCCCCCGCTCGCTGTGAGCGAGGGCAGCAGCCTCCCCTGTGCCGGGGGGGAGGGAACGGATCCCCCAACTCCCCATGCCCCGGGGTGTCCCAGGCAGCCGGACGTACCCAGACCAACAGCTGGGTGATGACCACATGGGGCAGGTCGCAGGCCAAGTGCAGGGCCGTGCGCCGGTCCTTGTCCCCGGAGCAGGTGTTGATCAGCTCCTTGGTGCTGTGTGCCAGCAACAGAAGCAGGGTGCCCAGGTCCTTCTCCTGCACGGCCCGGAACAGCTGCTGCCCCAGCGGGATCTCGGGGCTCGGGAATGGGGCCAGGAACACCCGCTGCTCGTACTTCGCCCGGATCCACGACTCCCGCTCCTCCCTGCAGCGAGAGATGCACCCGGGCGGAGATGAGTGCCCGGCGATGCAGACAGACTGGGCAGAGACGCAGAGCTCAGAGCTGGGGACCCCCAGGGGCCTGCAGTGCCTGGAGCCAGGTACCCCCCAGGATCATGCAGTGCTTGAAGCCAGGTATCCTGCAGGGACCTGGGCAAAGTCTGGAAACAGGTACCCCCAGGGGCCTGCAGTGCCCGGAGTCGGGTACCCCCCAGGGATCTGCAGTGTCCAGAGCCAGGCACCCCCAGGAAACTGCAGTGCCCGGAGTTGGGTACCCCCCCCACGACAAAGTCCAGAGCCAGGTACCCCCAGGGACCTGCAGTGCCCAGAGCTGGGTACCTCCCCAGGGGCCTGGAAGTGCCCAGCTCATGACACCTGCAACCTCCACCCTGCAAAAGTCTGGCAATGCCCACAGCCTGGTGCCCACAGGGTCCAGCTAGGTGAGAGAGGACTGTTATTTCCAGGGGCCTTTCAGCATCGCCTCCCCCCGCCCCTTCCTGAGCCATTAGCTATTGCCCCCAGGAAACACCGGCCAGCTGAGTGGCAAACCCCACAGGGAGGCTGCATTCTTCCTTCTCTGCCTCTTTCCCCAGCAGCTCCCGCCCAGCCCCCGGGGGCTGGGCATGGGGCTGCCGCCTGGGGCAGGGGCTCACCGGGACGACTCGCAGGTGGGCTTCCGGCGTCCCTGGGTGTTCTTCTCCCAGATGCTGTTGGCAGTCTCGTTGCCAATGGACGTCAGCACCAGGGTGAGCTCCAGGGGCCAGTCGTCGAGGTCCAGCGAGCGCACCCGCGACAGGTGGGTGCCCAGGTTCCGGTGGATGCCCGAGCACTCGATGCAGATCAGCGCCCCCAGGTTCAGGCTGGCCCAGGTGGGGTCTGGAGGAAGGGGGGAGGACAGGTCCCCATCAGCACCACGGCCTGGGAACCAGCCACCCAGGGAGAGACCCCCGGCGTGAGCCTCGGTGCCGCCCAACCCCCAGGAGTGAGACTCACTTGGTGCCCCGCAGTCCACACACAGGGAATTGCCTCTGGCATTGCGGATGGCCTGGATGGCCACCGCCTCGCTCTGGCTGTCCATCCGGGCCTGCAGGGAGCAAAGGGGGGGCAGTTGGCCAAGCAGCCGGGCAGCTGGGCACAGGTGCTCCAGGAGATCCCGGAGCCAGGACATAGACCCGCGCCCTGAGGTGTACCCCAGCTCTGGCCGTGGGGCTCAAGGTGAGCCACATCCGAGCTGAAACGCCCCCAGTTCTAGTCCTGGCAGTCTCCCCTCTGCCTTGTGGGACATAAGTGGCACCCACCTTGGGCTCCCCCTCTGCTCAGGGGTGAATCGCTTAGACCCCAGAGAAAGGGGTTTGACCCTGTTCCACCCCCAATACATGATTATGCCGGGAGCTGTACACTTTGGCTGCTGTCCCCCAGAAGTGGCTGCATTTCCCTCTCTGAAGGGACTGACTCAGGGCAGGCAGGGCCCCGCCCAGATGGCAGGGCAGGGCAGGGCTCTGCAGGGAGTTCCCATGCTGTCCTGGCGGCTCCGCAGCCAGACGGCAGAGAGGACTCTGGGGAAATGCCCCAGGAGGCGACTGGCCCTGGGGAGCAGCTGGGGCCGCCATACCTTGTTTTTGCTGCTCTCACAGCACTGCAAGCTGGCAAGGATCTGGCTCTCGATCGCCTGGACCCAGGCGTCCCTCTCCTCGAAGCTGCTGGCCTCGAAGTGCCACGTCTGGCCCGTGCTCGACACGATGATGAACTCGAAGTTCTCCTCCTCTGCAGAAGGGAAAGGGGGGGGTGGGGAGGGAGCGTCACCACCTGGGCACCCCACCGGAGCGACCCAATGGCTCTGCACGGTCAGGCTGGGGGAGGTCTGTCTGCCGGACAGGGGGCGGTAAGGCTGGCCGAACACCCCCCTTGCTTACAGGTTTATTTGTAGGGAGGACACAAAATACCCCTTTAAAGGAGCTGGGGCCAGCTGGGTAGTGCCAGGAGGAAGCTGGCAGCTCGGTCCCCGGGGCGGGAGCGCCAGCGAAGAGGCACTTACCGCCCCCTGCTGGCCAGAGGGTGGCTGCGACGCGGGGGAACCCGGCTGGGAGGAGCGTACTGGGAGCATGCGGGCACGTAGCTAGCTGGGCGGGGCAGGGGCCAATGGCAAGTCGTCAGAGCAGTGCCCGCCTTCATCCGGTGCCAGCCAGCACTTGCGGGATCGGCATGGAGCTCAGCACCCGGCTGTCTGCCCTGCCCCTTGCCCTAGGCACGGCCGGGCTCCTCCCCGCCCCGGGCGGCCGTCGGCACCACACGATGGAAGCACATCGACATGCATGAGTGACACCAGCACCGCGTGACGGCCGCTGCCCGTTACCTGTTTTATAAATATTTCTTAAACTACCAAAGGTTTTTAATTTCCACATTTTGCGCTTGGCTGCGGAGCGTCCGGGGGAGGGGGGGCAGCGGGAGGCAGGAGAGAATAAAGGGAGACAGTCAAGAGAAAAAGCCAGAAGACGGGGATCCCACCCGGAGGGGGGCAAAGCGCTGGCAGGGGAGGGAGGAAGCTGTGAGCAGTGTCAGCCACCCCCCTCCGCCCCCCCGGAGAGGTGGGGAGAGCTGGATGGGGGGGGGGCGCGCGTGCTGGGAAGCCATTCGCAGAGCGGGAATGAAACGCTTTCTAGCATCCGGTGGAGGGGCCAGCGTGTTGCCCGGTGCAGGGTCTGGCTGTCAGAAGGGACCGGTATCGCCTGGACCGGGCCAGGAGGAGTTGTGCTGAGCGTGCCACCCTGGGCTGGGCGTGCCCCATGCCACGCTGCTCTGGGTCAGAGTCACCCTGCCCCCCAGTCTCCGTGGCAGTCCTTCCCCGCCAGGGCGGGTCTCCATGGGTATGCCTACGCTGCAGGGTTCGAACTTGGGCTCAAGCCGAACCCACTCCTGTCTACACACAAATCGTGCTAGCCCAGGGCTTGGACCCCGGCTCTGGACCCCCCAGGGGCGGAGGGTCCAAACCGGAGTCAAGCCGGGACCCTGTTGCTTTGCAGTGTAGATGCCCCGGGAGCCCGCCGAAGGTGTCCAAGAATCCCACGGGCTGACTCTCTTTGTCCTCTCCCTCGAGGGCCCCCGGACTCCCCCTTGCCCCCCCTGCTCAGTTCCGGGCACTTTCTCCGAGGCCGTTCCCAGGATGCTCTAGGGCCCCCGAGCCAGGGGTGCTGCTCACAAGGCTGCCAAGGGGCGGCTCCCTGCGTTACCGCGCTGACAGCCTCCCTCACCTTCCGCCTGTCCCGTCGACCCCTCGGTTTTTGAGGGGGTCATCAGCTTCTTCCGGCGGTGCTTCTTCCTGTCAATCATGGGTGAAGGAGGCGGGTCTTTGCCGCTGGGGCTGGAGCTGGACACCCCTTCTCCGGCCAGGGACCCCTCTGCAGAGAGACACGGGCGGGAGAAGTCACCCCACGTCTCTCCCATCTTCCGACCCTCCCCCCCCCGGTGCCTGGAGAACCCCACTGGCATTCTCAGGGATTGGGAGCCAGCAACCCCCTCAGGCTCTGGAGAGGGATTTCTGCGGGCCCCTGGGCGCAATCGGGGCTCCAGGTTCTAGGTATCAGCCAATCTCTGGGGTCCTTGGGCAGCAAACAGCCGGGGTTTACCTGAAACATTAGCGCCTCCATCACCAGAGGTCCTGCTGGGAGCCCAGAGTGCCCCACAGCCGCCACGTACCCCCCAGTGGCCTTCCCTGCCCCCTTGCCGCTCGCCGGCCGTTGGCGAGGGATGCCGGGCGCTTCAGGGGGCAGCGCCGAACCTACCCCCGCCGGAGGTCTTGGTGCTGGCTGCCGAAGCGCAACGCTGGAGTGGCCGGTCCGTCTTCCCTGAGGCCTTGGCTGCTCGTTCTGTCGGGATGGTCAGCGCCGCCGGGGAGAGGCTAGCTGTGGGGAGAGAAGGGGAGCTGAGGGGTCTCCCCAAAGCGGAGGACCCTGGATCCAGCCGAGACAGCGTGCTGGGCTCGTATGATGACATATGGACCCACCGTGCACCAGTGAGCACAGCTAAGAAGCAACCCACTGGGCCACTAGGTGTCACCGTTGAGCTGTGTTCGATGGCTGGGCATAGGGCTCGGGCTGGGGGGGCCTGGAGTCACCCCAGAATGCCAGACCCTCCTGGGGCACCCAGCCCAGCCTCCCTCTCTGTCGCAAAAGCCCCAAGTGCCCCAGCACCCCCCTCCCAGCTGCCCCCCCCCGTTGTGCCAGCCTTCCCTACACACACAAGCATCAGGCCACCCCCCTCCCCCCCCGCCTCCCTCACTTCCCTGTGGGCTCGGCAGCAGGGAGACGCCCAGGCCACCCTCCACCCACGGTCCAGGCACTGATGCCCCGGCTGGGAGGTGGCATGGGCTGGGTCCCCGCACAGAGCTGGGCCCTGCGGTCACTTACCGCCACCCTCGGGCGTCGGTCCCCCGCTCACGTCCCGCAGCAGGCCGTTGATGCTGGAGGAGGGGCTGCAGGCGGAGATGGCCCTGGGGGGGCGCTTGCCGGGCACCTTGACGGTGGTGCGCAGGAGGTCCATCCCCTTCCCGTGGGTGCTGTGAATGTAATCCTGGGGGGAGACAGGGAGTCACCGCAAAGCCCCCGGGCAGCCGCGGATCTAACTCCACCCGGCTCTCCGCCCTGTGTGCCCATCCCCACGGCGCCTGGCCTGGCCCCAGCCCCTGCGGCGGGGTGGTATCCCCTCTCCCCTGGTGGGAGGGTGCAGATTGGCCCCTGGTCCCGAGTGCTGGAGCTCAGCGGGCCCGGGGGAGATGGGGGAACTAGGAGAGCCGCAGAGTGAGCTACATCTGGCCGGGGGGCTGCTGATCTCGGAGCCAGGAAGCAGCTGGCACCCCCCGCCCCCGGCCCCCTGCTCATGGCAGTCGGCTCAGCTGGGCAGGGCCCTGGCGCGGGGGGCGCGGCCAGGCACTTACGTTGATGCTGGGGTGGTAGAAGAGGAGGCCGTTGCTGGACAGGGTCACGTATTTCTTCTTCCACTCCTTGTTGAGGGAATTGCCGCTGCGTTTCAGCAGGAAGCTCTGGGGGGAGTGAGGCAGGTTAGCCAAGGCCGGGAGGTGGGGGACTGCCGGTCATTTATGGAGCCCGTCCAGCCCTGAGGCACCTCCTCCCGCCGGCCTCGGCACGGACCCTGTGCCCTTCCCGGGGCTGCCTGCCGGCGGCTCGCAGAGTGTGTTATCCGTGCCAAGGAGGGCCCCCCCCATTTTACAGAAGAGGAAACTGAGGCACAGACCGAGGCTATGCCGGGTCACCCAGCCAGCCGGTGGCTGAGCTGGGAATAAAACCCAGGTCGCCTGGGTCCCGGTCCAGTGCTCTGTTCACTAGGCCACCACCTTCTCCCAGGGACCCCCGTGGCTGGTATCCCACTCCGGGAGGGCCAGGGAGGTGGAGACAGCGTTTGCCCATGTGTGCAGTGGGCTGGCTGGGTGCACAAATGCCAGGGAGGCTGAGCTGAAGCCATGAGATCTGTGTGCATCCCCAGGTGTTGTGTTCCTGAGTGGGCATGCGTGTGCCGGGGGGGGCGGTGCGCGCGCAGGGTGTGTGTGTTTGCTCTGTGTGTGTGTGTATGTGTGCTGTGCGTGCATGTGTTTGTTGGGTGTGTGTTTGCTGGGGGGGTGTGTGTGCGGGTGTGTGTTTGCTGGGGGTGTTTGCTCGGTGTGTGTTTGTGTGTTTGCTGGGGGGTTGTTGGCTGGGTGTGTGTTTTCTGGGGTTGTGTGTGTGTGCATTTGTGGGGTGTGTCTGCTGGGGGGCTGTTTGCTCTGTGTGTTTGCTGGGTGTGTGTGTGTTTTCTGGGAGTGTGTTTGCTCTGTATGTGTGTGTTGGCTGGGGTTCTGTGTGTGCGTTTGCTCTGTGTGTTTGCTGGGGGTGTGTTTGCTCTGTGTGCGTGTGTGTGTTTGCTGGGGGTGTGTGTGTTTTCTGGGTGTGTGTTTGCTCTGTATGTGTGTGTTGGCTGGGGTTCTGTGTGTGCGTTTGCTCTGTGTGTTTGCTGGGGGTGTGTTTGCTCTGTGTGCGTCTGTGTTTGCTGGGTGTGTGTGTGTTTTCTGGGAGTGTGTTTGCTCTGTATGTGTGTGTTGGCTGGGGTTCTGTGTGTGCGTTTGCTCTGTGTGTTTGCTGGGGGTGTGTTTGCTCTGTGTGCGTGTGTGTGTTTGCTGGGTGTGTGTGTGTTTTCTGGGAGTGTGTTTGCTCTGTATGTGTGTGTTGGCTGGGGTTCTGTGTGTGCGTTTGCTCTGTGTGTTTGCTGGGGGTGTGTTTGCTCTGTGTGTGTGTGCATGTGTTTGCTGTGGGTGTGTTTGTGTGTTTGCTGGGGGGGTGTTGGCTGTGTGTGTGTCGGCTGTGTGTGTGTGTGTTTGCTGGGGGTGTGTTTGCTCTGTACGTGTGAGTTGGCTGGGTGTGTGTTTGTTGGGGTTGCGTGTGTGTGTGTTTGCTCTCTGTGTGTGTGTGTGTGTTTGCTGGGTGTGTTTGCTCTGTGTGTGTGTGTTTTTGCTCTGTGTGTGTGTTTGTGTGTTTGCTGGGGGGGTGTTGGCTGTGTGTGTGTCGGCTGTGTGTGTGTGCGTTTGCTGTGTGTGTTTGCTCTGTGTGTGTGTGTGTTTGCTCCGTGTGTGTTTGCTCTGTGTGTGTGTGAGTTGGCTGGGTGTGTGTTTGTTGGGGTTGTGTGTGTGTGTGTGTTTGCTCTCTGTGTGTGTGCGTTTGCTGGGTGTGTTTGCTCGGTGTATGTGTGCGTTTGCTGGGTGTGTGTGCTTGAGGGTGTCGCTGTTGCGAAGGAAAATCCTGGGTGCACCTCTCGGGCACTGGGGGGATGCCAGCTGCCAGGTGGCGAGGGGGCCCGGCTGTGCCCGCGGCTCTCACCTGTTTGATTGGGATGGCGCGGCCGCTGCCTGTGCTGTCCCCTCTGCTCTCCAGGCTCCTCTTCTCCGAATCGCTCCCCCGGCGGTTCTGCAACGTGACAAGGAGCCCTCAGCTAAAGGAATGTGGCCCCCAGGGGTACCACTGAGCTGGCCCCAGGGCACGTTGCTGTCCCGCCCCCAGGGGGCACCACTGAACCGTCCCCAGGGCGTGTCGCTGTCCCGCCCCCAGGGGGCACCACTGAACTGTCCCCAGGGCACGTCGTTGTCCCGCCCACAGGGGGCACCACTGAACCATCCCCAGGGGGCACCACTGAGCTGGCCCCAGGGCGCGTCGCTGTCCTGCCCCCAGGGGGCACCACTGAACCGTCCCCAGGGTGCGTCGTTGTCCCGTCCACAGGGGGCACCACTGAGCCGTCCCCAGGGGGCACCACTGAGCCGGCCCCAGGGCACGTCGCTGTCCCACCCCCAGGGGGTACCACTGAACCGTCCCCAGGGCAAGTTGCTGTCCCGCCCCCAGGAGATACCACTGAGCCGGCCCCAGGGCAAGTTGCTGTCCCGCCCCCAAGGGGCACCACTGAGCCGGCCCCAGGGCAAGTTGCTGTCCCGCCCCCAGGGGGCACCACTGAGCCTGTCCCAGGGTTTGTCGCTGTCCCGCCCCCGGGGGCTCCACTGAGCCTGCCCCAGGGCTTGTCGCTGTCCCACCCCCAGGGACTCCACTGAGCCTGCCCCAGGGCTTGTCGCTGTCCCGCCCCCGGGGGCACCATTGAGCCATCCCCAGGGGGCACCACTGAGCTGGTCCCAGGGCACATCGCTGTCCCGCCCCCGGGGGGCACCATTGAGCCGTCCCCAGGGGGCACCACTGAGCTGGTCCCAGGGCACGTCGCTGTCCCGCCCCCAGGGGGCACCACTGAGCCAGCCCCAGGACACACCGCTGTCCTGTCCCAGCCCCAGGGGGTGCCACTGAGCTGGCTGGGAGCCAAACCCACATGCCCGTGCCCCACCTTCCCATGGGTTCCCAACCCCGGGTGGCTGTGGTGCATGGCTGTAGCCCACAGCGGTGTGTGGCCAGAGCGGCACGGGGCTCAGGGGAACGGCACCGTCAGACGCGCCCGGGCGGGAGCTCCGGAGATGGGGCGGGGCTCACCGTGAAGAGGCTGGTGCGGCGCTTGGCCCCGCGGTGCAGGGAGCTGGGGGTGCCGATCCCAACCGAGCCTTCGCTCCGCAGCTCGCGGTGGCTGATGTTGGGCGTAGACGGCAAGGAGGAGGAGTAATCGCTCGTGTGGCCTCCATTACTGGCCTGGAAAAGAGCCCCGGGCACCTGGCGTCAGCGTCCCCCGGCCCGGAGCCACCTGCTGTCCATGGGCCCCTTTTCCCCTGGGCCACGGAAATGCCCCCCTCTGACGGCTCCTTCTCCCCGACGGGCTGGGGGCCAGGGAGCGCAGTGAGTATGTGGGGGTTTAGGGGTTAGAGGGGCGGGGGCGGGACTCCTGGGTTCTGTCCCCAGCTCTGGGAGGGGAGTAGGGTCTAGTGGTTAAAGCAGTAGGGCCTGGGAGTTAGGACTCCTGGGTTTTATTCTCCGCCTATAACCCCCCCACCCCCCACCCACACACACACAGTCCCCCAGGGCCAGGGCAGTGATAGCTCTTCCTATGCCCCCCCCATCCCCCACGGCATGCTTGTCCCAGTTGCCCTGGTTCAGCGGGGAGATGGGGCCCAGCTGGGCACTGTGGTGCCCTTGGGGCTGGAACTGGCCCAGCCGCCGGCTCCATGAAAGGGGCTGCAGGCCTGGAGGCGGCTGAGGCTGGGGAGGGGGCGCCCCTGGTGCTGCGGTGCCCCCCCGCTGGCTAAGGGAGGCACTGGCTGCTGCCGCTGGCCGTACCTGCCCAGGGTGGATCCCGCCCACGGGCGTGGAGGCTGCCGAGTGGCTGGGGGTGCTGGGCAGGGACTTGCAGGAGGCCAGGAGCTGCTGCTGCTTCTTCAGAGTGACGACCTTTTGGGCCACTGGGAGGGGAAGGAAAGTCCCGTGAGAGACAGGGAGCCACGCGGACCCCGCCCCCCGAGGGAGAGCCCCCCCCAGCCACGGTTAGAGGGATCCCCCAGGGGACACACGGCCCCAGCCATGGCCATGGGGACCCCCAGGGAGACAGACCATCCCAGCCACGGCCACAGGGACCCCCCCGAGGGAGAGCCCGCCCCAGCCACGGTTAGAGGGACCCCCCAGGGGACACACAGCCCCAGCCACTGCCAGGGGGACCCCCAGGGAGACAGACCATCCCAGCCACAGCCTCAGGGTCCACCCCCCTCCCATCCCAGCTAAAGCCAGGGGGACCCACCAGGGGGAGAGCCCACCCCAGCCACGGCCACAGGGATCCATGGGGGAACAAACCACCCCAGCCCCGGCCACCTAGACCCCGCCTCGGGTCCCGGCCCAGCCCTTGGGTGAAAGGGAAGGAGCAGCGGGGGCCCCGTGGGGCGGACCCCCCTGGCCGGCGGTTACCCTCACTGAAGACCCGGTCGACGTTGAGGCCGTAGGTGGCGCAGGTCTCGTAGTAGAGACAGCGTCTCATGTCGCCGCAGAGCGCCCGGGCCTGCGGGTCCTCGATCACCCGGGGGTTGGTGGAGCTGATCTTGTCTGGGGGGCGGGAGAAAGAACGGCCCCTTCTCACCCGGACGGACGGACCGAGGGACGCCGGGGTGGACAGGCACCACCCAGCTCCGCACCACCGCCCCCCTCTGGCGGCCGGGCGCCACCCCCCGCGAGGGGCCTCGGGGCTGGGATCAAGTCAGGGAGGGGGAAAGACGCGCGGCGCGTGGAGGGTTAACGCCCCACGCACCAGACACAGCTCTCGGGTCTGGATCCTGGGGGCCACCGGAGCCAGGGCTGGCTGCGAGGGGAGAGCGCCCCCAGTGACCCCCCGGCCCCGCTCCCCGCAGCGCAGGGCCCCCTAGTGACCCCGCCCCGCTCCCCGCAGCGCAGGGCCCCCTAGTGACCCCCCGCCCCGCTCCCTGTGTACAGAGCCCCCTAGTGACCCCCCGCCCCGCTCCCCGCAGCGCAGTGCCCCCTAGTGACCCCCCGCCCCGCTCCCTGTGTACAGAGCCCCCTAGTGACCCCCCGCCCCGCTCCCCGCAGCGCAGGGCCCCCTAGTGACCCCCCGCCCCGCTCCCCGCAGCGCAGGGCCCCCTAGTGACCCCCCGCCCCGCTCCCTGTGTACAGAGCCCCCTAGTGACCCCCGCCCCGCTCCCCGCAGCGCAGCGCCCCCTAGTGACCCCCCGCCCCGCTCCCCGCAGCGCAGCACCCCCTAGTGACCCCCGCCCCGCTCCCCGCAGCGCAGGGCCCCCTAGTGACCCCCCGCCCCGCTCCCTGTGTACAGAGCCCCCTAGTGACCCCGCCCCGCTCCCCGCAGCGCACGGCCCCCTAGTGACCCCCCGCCCCGCTCCCCGCAGCACAGCGCCCCCTAGTGACCCCCCACCCGCTCCCTGTGTACAGAGCCCCCTAGTGACACCCACCCCGCTCCCCGCAGCGCAGCGCCCCCTAGTGACCCTGCCCCGCTCCCCCGCAGCGCAGGGCCCCCTAGTGACCCCCCCGCCCCGCTCCCTGTGTACAGAGCCCCCTAGTGACCCCCCGCCCCGCTCCCCGCAGCGCAGCGCCCCCTAGTGACCCCCGCCCCGCTCCCCGCAGCACAGCGCCCCCTAGTGACCCCCCACCCGCTCCCTGTGTACAGAGCCCCCTCGTGACCCACACCCCGCTCCCTGTGTACAGAGCCCCCTAGTGACACCCACCCCGCTCCCCGCAGCACAGCGCCCCCTAGTGACCCCCGCCCCGCTCCCCCGCAGCGCAGGGCCCCCTAGTGACCCCCCGCCCCGCTCCCTGTGTACAGAGCCCCCTAGTGACTCCCGCCCCGCTCCCCGCAGCGCAGGGCCCCCTAGTGACCCCCCGCCCCGGTCCCTGTGTACAGAGCCCCCTAGTGACTCCCGCCCCGCTCCCCGCAGCGCAGCGCCCCCTGCTGAGCCCCCTTCCTCATTGCAGCCCCTGGGATTGGCTCAGATATCCACCACCTACCCCGTGATGGCCTGCAGCAAGCGCCCACTCTGGGCATGTCCCCTTCCCTGCCCCTCCCCGGGGCTCCAGCCCTGCCCACACCCCACTCACCCTGCGTGCCCACCAGGGCCACGGCCACCTCCGAGGGGCTGCGGTAGCCAGTCAGGAGGCTGTAGTACTGCGAGACCTCCTGGAAGCTGGCTTCGTTCTCCAGGCTGAACACAAAGACCACGGCATCCACCCAGCTGGCAAACTGTGTGGGGGGGAGAGAGAGCGGGAAGCGGGGTTGGCTCTCTGTGCCGGGGGCAGGGATCCCCAACACAGAACCAGGGAACCCCCCCGCCCTCGCCTTGATGCCAGACCCGGGGGGGTGTCTCGGGGGTGGAGACACCGGGAGCCAGGGATCAGCCGCGGGAGCATACAGTGCCCTGCGTTACCCCCCCCCGGCTGTGGCTGATCCCCCCCCCCCGGTCCTCCCCCAGTGGTTACCTTGGCGTCCGGGGCACCCCCTTCCTCTCGGATCAGTAACAGGTGACTCTGCCCGTCCACCACCAGTTCCTTCTTGAACTGTCCACCTGGATCCAGAGAGAGGGGGAGAGAACAGGCGCTGAGCACGGCCCCTGTGCCTGACGGCCCCTGCCTGCCCGCGCCAGGTGTGATGAAGTGGGACCGTTCTTAATGTTTCTTCCGAATAGTGTGGGGGTGCCTCAGTTTCCCCTATGCAGTTCTTAAGTATCTAGGGAGTGGGGTAAGGGTGTATGATCATTGCAGAGCCCTAGAGGGCAGGTGTGTGCAGGGGTCTGGACACAGAGAATGGCCGACACCCTGTTTCTTGGCAACTGATGGCCTGGCCCTTCCCCCCTGCAAGGTGAGAGCTAAAGGGTTGGAGAACAAAGGAATCAGGTGCCCTCATGGCCCGGGAAAGGGACAAAGCCCAGAGGAGGGGGGCTGGAGAGAGTTTCAGTTTGGGGCTGGCTGGGACATGGAGTGAAGTGCAGACGGGGTTGTCTGGCTCACTGCCCCCGAAAATGGACCCAGCTGAGGGGTCCCATTCTCTGCACCCACAAGCTCTGTGTTAGACCATGTTCCTGTCGTCTAATAAACCTTCTGTTTTATTGGCTGGCTGAGAGTCCCGTCTGACTGCGGAGTCCGCCTGGGCGGACTCGCTGTCGGAAGCACAGGGAGGGGCAGGGGAGGCTGGAGGCTCTGGGGTCAGTCCCAGGAAGGTGGAGCCGGGTGAGCTGTGTGTCCTGCAGACAGGCTGCTCCCAGAGAGGAGACTTCCCCAGAGTCCTGACTGGCTTCGTAGGGAGCAGTCCCAGAGCATTGCCCGGGGACTCCATGACACCAGGCTTAGGAGTTAGCTCCCTCCCGAGCACAGGCAGCCTCATCCCAGTGCTCGGGGGAGGCGTTTGTTTGGGTCACAAAATCAGCTCCCGAGGTGACACAAAGCTCAAGTCACTGGCCTCTGCTCAGAAGTCCTAGCAGGGGGCTGCGGGTCGGGAGTGAGGGGCACCGGCAGAGCTGGGGGGAGCCCAGGGCTGGGTAGCAGGGGGCTGTGGGTCGGGAGTGAGGGGCGCCGGCAGAGCTGCCAGTGCCATGCACCCCCCAGCAGGGTCGGGCCTGTGGACTACGGAAGCAAAGAGGACATTGGAGGCTGAAGCCTCCTGGACCCAGGCCCCGTGTGTGGACGGGCCGGGGGCTCATGGCTGCAACTACCCAGTTGCTGGCCCTGGTGACTTAGCCTCTGTGTCTAATCTGGGCCCATTCGGGCTCTGGGCAATGGCCGGGGGGAAGCTGCCACCAGCTCTTCGTGCCCAGCCTGTCAGCTGCGCGGGATTCAATCGGGGCCATTGTCTGCAGCTCCCTCGGTGCCAGCAGCTGGCCCAGTGCCCTGCCCCCACCCCACCCCCGGGCCTGGGGGGCTGGCAGCAGCTTCCCATTGGGAGAACGGAGGGTGGGAGATGGGGATCCACCGAGCCAGCCAGGGGGGCCCAGGTGGGACAGAGCCAAGGCTGGGTGCTTCCCACAATGTACCTGATAGGGCCCTCTCACCTGGGGCTAGCGGGGGAGGAGGGGAGAGGTCAGGGTGCCCAGCTGGGACGTGCCCAGTTAGGAGAAAATCCAGGTATGGCAAAAATTAGGCTGACGGGCACATTCAGACTCCGGAATGGGCACGGTCTGGTCATAGTGGCAGGATCTGGCCGCAGAACCAGCACAATCTGGCCATGGAACTGGCAGGATCTGGCCAAGGAACCGGCACAGTTTGGCCGTGGAACCGCCAGGGCCTGACCACGGAACTGGCACAGTTTAGCCGTGGAAGCACCAAGATCTGGCCACGGAACCGCCAGGACCTGGCCACGGAACCGGCACAGTTTGGCCATGGAAGCACCAAGATCTGGCCACGGAACCGCCAGGACCTGGCCACGGAACCGGCACAGTTTGGCCGTGGAAGCACCAAGATCTGGCCACGGAACCGCCAGGACCTGGCCACAGAACCGGCACGTTCTCCGCTCTGCTGGCTGGATGCCCAGGCCCGAGGGAAGAGTTGGATTTACCGCCCCCGACATGCCCCTGCTGGTCTCTGCAGGGCCCTAAAGGAGCGGAGCAGCCCGAGGCAGGGCCAGACCAGGGTGGACCCCCCTCCCCGCCCTGGTACTCACTCTCGGCTGGCTCCAGGCCCAGGTAGGAGCCGGTGAGGAAGCGATGGACGAGGGCCGACTTCCCGCTCTTCATGCTGCCCAGGACGCCCTGGGAGGCCAAAGGGCAGAGGTCATGGCAGGCCATGCTCAGTCCTGTGCTAGACAGTGCCCCCCCGTCCCCCCCGGCCCTCCCACTCCAGTCACGCCCACTCCCCCCCAAGCACAGCCCCCAGGGGTCACTGGCCAAGGTGTTGAGCCAGTGCCCAGCCCGCCCCCCTAGGGGGAAGGAGCTCCCCTGTGTCCGGGGGCCCCATGCACCCCCAATCCCTCCCCCAGCCCCCATTGGGGGGGCCCCCAGGGCTCTCTGCTGCCCCCTGTGGCTGGGCTGGGAGCGCCACGTGTCCTGGAGCAGGCCTGGGGTGGCATCCGACTCCACAGCCCACCCGGGCGCAACCCACAGCACAAGTCACGGGGCCTCTGAGCTCGGGCACCTGAACCAAGGCCAAGTGTGAGCTGCCAGGCTCGGTGCCATGAGGCATTAACAGTGAAATGGGCTAGCAGGGGGCTGCGGGTGGGGACTGAGGGGCACCAGCAGAGCTGGGGGGGCAGGATCCCAAGACTGGGGGCTATGGGTAGGGATTGAGGGGCACCGGCAGAGCTGAGGGGAGGAGCCCAGGACTGGAGGCTGCGGGTCGGGATTGAGGGGCACTGCAGAGCTGGGGGGGAGCCCAGGACTGGGGGCTGCGGGTCGGGATCGAGGGGCACCGCAGAGCTGGGAGGGGGAGCAAAGGGCTGGGCTAGCAGGGGGCTGCAGGTTGTGATTGAGGGGCACCAGCAGAGCTGTGGGGGGGACCCCAGGGCTGCAGGTCAGGACTGAGGGGCACCCAGTGGGCGGGGGGGGAGGAAGCCAGGGCTGGGGGATGGGATTGAGGGGCACTGGCAGAATGGTGGGCAGATGGGGGGGAGGGAGCCAGGGCTGGGGGTCGGGATTGAGGGGCACCCAGTGGGCGGGGGGGGAGGGAGCCAGGGCTGGGGGTCGGGATTGAGGGGCACCAGCAGAACGGTGGTGTGGGGGGGACCCAGGCCTCGGGGTCAGGTCTCACTGCCATAAATCCCATGTTTCCGTACGTCCCGCCGCTCGGTGGCTGGGGGGGGCGACGAGACACCTACCAGTCTGAGCTCCGGGACGGAGCGGCTGAGGGTCCATTCCTGGCTGTTTGCTATGGCCTCTGAGGAGAGAAAGAAAGGGGGCATGAGGACCACGGAGATGCCCGGTGGGCCAGGCAGCTCAGTGCTGGCTCCCGCTCCCCCCGGCTACAGAGCCCCAGCCCGCTCTGATGAAGGGACGGACCCGGCTCTGAACCACCAGGGAGTTTGGGGCAGAGGGCTCAGATCCCGCCATGGCACCGGGTCCCCCGGGCAGAGAGGCGACGGTCATCAGGGCCAGTCTCCCAGCCACGCGCACCAGAACAAAAGGCAGCTCTGTGCGCCCTTGCGGTAGGGCGGGCAGCTGCCAACCGGCCCTGGCAGGAGCCGCGTGGGGGCAACGCCACCCCGGAGGAGAAGGACGGGGCCTGAGGGAGCAAGCGTTGCAAGGGGACGGAAGAGGAGGTGACGGTGGGAGCACAAAGGGCTGGCATGAGCCAACGGCAGGCCTGGGCGAGTGCGTGGGTCCCAGCCAGGTGCCAGTTCTTCCACGGAGCCAGGCGGGCATCGTGCATTCCTAGTGCAAAGGCCTTGAGCCCGGAGTGATGGGCACGTCTGAGAGAGAGACAGATGGGGTGTATGGGGATAGATAGATGGAGGAGTGGAGGAATGGTGTGTGTGTGTGTGTGTGTGTGTGTGTGTGTGTGTGTGTGTGTGTGTGTGTGTGTGTGTGTGTGTGTGTGTGTGTTTAACCCTTTCCATGCTGCACGGCTCCCGAATGCCCATGCTCTGCCGGGCTGATCGTTCCATTAACGCTTATTACTGTGGCCTGAGCCCCGTTTCCCGCAGAGCTGCCCCGAGACGGAACCGCTGGCTCCTTCCCGCCCAGTCCCGCTCCCTGGCCGGCTGGGCTGCGGACGCAGGCCGTGGATCGTGATGCATTGCGCTGCGCCTGGGGGAGGCTGGCTCCGCTTGATGTTTCACGGCGCCTTGGGCAGCTGGTGGGTGCCAGGTCTGCGGGGGCGGGGGGGGGCAGGGCGGGCCAGGGACGGATGCATGAGCAGCCACTCAAGACCACCCTGCCGACCTGAACAGCAGCGCCTCCCCGAGCAGGCCAGGACAGGGCTTCGGGTTCACTCGGGGCTGGAGTGACACGGAGAGAGACAGGGACGGGAGCAGGGGCATTTACATCGAGGATCTGAGCGTTGTTGGCACCCGGGGCCTGATCCTCCCCTGCCTCTAACCTTGGGCCCAACACTGCACTCTGGCGTCTTTACACCAGCCAGACTGGTGCAAAGGGGCCTTGAGGCAGGCGCCGGGGGTCCGGATCAGGCCCCCTCGGTGCGTACCCAGCTGCCGTCATCCAGTGCTGCCCTGGCCAACGGGGCACGCCGCTCTGCTTCGGGAGCAGTTCCCCCGTGCTGCGGTCAGTATTACCCCCCACCGCTGGGGAGTGGGGAACGGAGGCAGGGGAGAGGGCTGTGCCAGCCTGGGGACGGCAGGGCCTGGAGCCTGGGTCTTTACATTGGAAGCTGAATGGAGCCACGGGGCGCCCGGACGCGGAGCCGCGGCACAGAGAGGCTATTTACACACAGGCCTGGCCGCTCGGGGAGACACTGGGTTATTGAGCCCTGGATGACAGAGGCATGGATCAGCGGCTGGAGAGCAGTGCAGGAAAGCGACCAGAGCAAAACTCCATCGCGGCATTTACATGGGGGGTCCCCACGGCCCTGGGATCTGCACCACCCCACAGACCCCCCGGCACCACCCCACAGACCCCCTGGCTCTGGACGCAACAGCGTGGACGTGGTCCTGGGCTACACTGTACATACTGCCCCATATACACTCTGCTGTGCATCACAAACACGACAGATACCAGCCCCATATATACCCCACTGCCCCGTATAGCCCAGCATGGATCCAGGACCCAGTCTCACTATATGTACTAGCCCCATATATACGGCACCCCTCCCCATATAGACCAGCATGGATGCCGCCCCTGTGGAAAGCGAGGGCGGCATCCACCCGGTGCTGTGTCTGGCTGGATTTGACTCCCAGTGACGGGGTCTTGGCTGCGAAGCAGACAGCTGGGGGGCAGGGGGGGGTGTTAATGTCCTTTCTCTGCCGGTTTGCCCCGGCCCAGGGTCTGGGCTCCAGGGCAGGTGACTCTGGGGCGACTCTGGGCCCAGGCGGCCGCCGGTTGGGACAGGCCCTGCCACGGGCTGCGCCCAGCCGGGCTCCACGGCACCGCACGACGGAACTCGCTCCGTCTCTCTGTTACCATGGAACTGTTGCTAAGCAACAGTGCCCAGCGCGTTGCCGAGCGACCCGGAGAGACAAGGGCCAAGGCTACAGGCCCGCTGGCTCTGGATTCCTGGAGCTGAGGGTGTTGCCTGACAGCCAGATTCCCGCGGGTGCAGCCACGCTGGCCGCTGGCCCCACGTTGGACGGCTTCCAGCTGGTGCCACCCCACTCCAACCAGCTGAGAGCCCTGCCACCCCCACCTAGGGGCGTCTCTCACTCATGCCCTGGCCCCTGATGGAGGATGCTACCCGACCCTCCTAACCTCCTGGTCAGGCACGTCCATGGCTATCTTGTCGGGTTCCCATATGGTTCCCAGCACCACCTTATCTGAACACCTCACGCTCTTCAAACCCTCCATCCTGTCCCGTTCCCCCCCCCCCCGTTGAGGTATGGGGAGTGTTATCCCTGTTTTTAAGACGGGGAAACTGAGGCACAGAATAGCTAAGTGACTTGCCCGAGGTGGTAGAGCAAAGGGCATCAAATCCGGCTCTCCGAAGCGCCCTCACCACTGGGCCGGCCCTCTTCTCCAGGGAGGACTTTTTCAAAGGCACTCAGGAGGAAGAGCAGCCCAAGCCCCAGTGAAAGCCAGTTGTGTGCCTAACTTCCTTAGGAACCTCTGACTATCCCAGTGCTGCAGGGACACAGGGACAGATGAGGAGGGCGGGCAGGAGACCAGTAAACTGCCCCCCATCCATCGTATCAGGGAGACACCAGAAAGCAGGGGCAAAGGTCTGGGTTAGCCGAAGAATCCAGCGAGGCTGTCTCTGCCATCCGCCCTCCTCTCCCCCCGCGGCTGCCTTGACTCGGTGACTGCCTGGTGCCGTGAGTCACAGCGACAGGCTTGGCTCTCTCTGCCCCGGACTGGTGCCATCATCTCGGGTTGTTATGTAAGTGCAGCTCGAACAGTCACCAAAGGAGGTCGCTTGCCATGGCCCCCCGAACACACTGATGACAGGACTCTAGCCCAAAACTGAGCAGACACAACCAGCGGGGGCCTCCTTGGATGCCCCACGCCGGCAAGGATGCAAAATCTGGATTGCTCGTGGCCTGCCCCGAAGCTGGGAAGCTACTGGGGTTCAGAGCAGAGGCGGGGAACCCCTGGGCTCCGAGTATTCAGGAACCACCAGCCCTGAACGAGGCAGATGCCCCGACCTCTCAGTTAGGGGCTGGACGGGGAGCCTGGATCCCGGGAAGCGGCCAGGCCAATCCTCAAAGAAATCGTGCTCTTGGGTAGCTCCTGATGCCCCCCACTCAGACCCACGCTGCTCCCTACGGGCACGTGGCACCAGCTCTGCACCCTGCCCCCTTGCCCAGGCCTCACGGGAGACGCTGCCCCCTGCTGGGGACACAGTCACATGTGAGGGATTGCGGCCTGCGATAAGGACTGGGCCGGGGCAGCAGCAGGGACCGCCTGCAGCGGAGCAGGGAGCTCGGGACTGAGCCTCAGACGCTGCCCCCCCGGCCGTGCCCAGATGGCAAACACAACGCCAAGCTTGCAGGTGGGGGGGGAGGTGGAGGGAGGGCAGGCAGCCCCCCTCCCCCTCCTCCCTGGCACATGGCCCTTGGGTGACAGCATCAAGCGGGCTGGGAGAAGCCACAGTCTGGCACCTGCAGGCAGCCACTGGATCGGTCGCGCTTGGCTGGGCGCCTGACAAGTGTCACTGAGCTTTCCCCTGACACAACCCGCCCCCCAACCCTTAGTGTTAACGAAGGAGAATCCCAGCACCAATTAGAGCAGGACCATGGGCAACAGCACAGTGAACGTCCTTCGAGGTTTCTGCCATGCAGCTTTGCCGGGGGTCGGAGGAAACCAATGCAGGGCAGGCTGCCTGGGGTTGATCCCGGGGCTGTACATCACTTTGGGTTGGAGAGCTACAAACCCCCTGCTTCCTTTTGCACCACTTCAGCCACCGTCTGCTTGCTCCCTTGTCTCGACAGCCCCCCCAGAGAGAAGCACCCAACATTTGCTGGGCTCTTCTGATAATCCAGCCGTGGGGGGGGTCACCCTGGGCTATTCAGGTGCCTCGAAAGGACCTGAGCTCTTTTGAAAGCCTGGCCCCAGATGAAGTGCTGGAGAACTACGTCACAGCCGGATGGGTCCCGCCAGCCAGGACTTTCCCTGATGCCCTTTGGCTCAGCGGCATGCCACCACCTGGACCCGTGGCAGCCAGACGGGACCTAATTCTCCTTTGCCCGGGGCCTTGCACCCGGTCGGGGCAAATCGCTGCTTGGTGGATTCGGTCTCCCTTTGCCCTGAAGGATGCTTGATTGGGGCCCCGCCCTGGAAGCCGGGCGTGCACGTACCGGGCTGGGCAGCACGCGTGCAAAGTGTCCGTGCAGCACTTCAAAGTCGTGCAAAGATGCGTGTGCACCTTTATCCGCGACAGGGAGCAATGGGGCTGCTGACCCCCCCGACCCGGCAGGCCTTTCGTAAGCTATTGCTGCAATGCTCAGCCACCGTATTGCTGGGCAAATCCTGCCTCGGCACTAGTAACAACCCTTCCCGGCTATGACATCACCCCTCCCCCAGCCTGATTGGTGCGGAACCGCTCAAGCAGCAAATCAGCTCCCGCGACTGGGGCAAACTCAGCCGCCGCGATTGGCCCGGCAGGTTCGGCATCTTGCTCCCAGCAGCCGCCAATATCTGCTGCGCGGTGGGAAGAAAAGCCCAGCATGCACCTGGCCAGCGGGGCACTGCTGCACGTGGGGCGGGGGCTGGGATTCCTTCCTGACCCCCGGGGCCGAGAGATCAGCGTAGGCCCTGGAACGTGAGAGCTGA